ATACATACAACACTATAGCTATACATACCACACTAGCTATACATACCATACTTTATAATAATATGTAAAACACAGATATTGTACATAACTCAACTATTCATATAACTCTGATGTTATCCACACATGCATAATAAAGTTCTATGATAATAAGTTAATACTATAGCTATATATACACCACTTTAGCTATACATGCAACACTAGCTATACATGCAACACTATAGCTATACATACCATACTAGCTATACATACAACACTAGCTATACATATAATACTAGCTATAAATACAATACTAGCTATACATACAACACTATAGCTATACATACAATACCAGCTATACATACAATACTAGCTATACATACAATACTAGCTATACATACAACACTATAGCTATACATACAATACTAGCTATATATACAACACTATAGCTATACATATAATACTAGCTATAAATACAATACTAGCTATACATACAACACTATAGCTATACATACAATACCAGCTATACATACAATACTAGCTATACATACAATACTAGCTTTACATACAACACTATAGCTGTACATACAACACTATAGTTATACATACAACACTAAAATCATACATCTCAATATATAACTCTTTATAATCATATGTTAAACACAGATATTGTACATAACTCAACTATTCATATAACTCTGATGTTATCCACACATGCATAATAAAGTTCTATGATAATAAGTTAAACTTGCCTTAGCGTGTTCCTGTATTCAACCATTCCCTGTCTAATGTGACTATCGACCATGATTGTCAGCTTACATGTACCTGTATAAAGCGACCATGATTGTCAGCTTACATGTCTAGCTATACATACAACACTATAGCTATACATACAATACTAGCTTTACATACAACACTATAGCTGTACATACAACACTATAGTTATACATACAACACTAAAATCATACATCTCAATATGTAACTCTTTATAATCATATGTTAAACACAGATATTGTACATAACTCAACTATTCATATAACTCTCATGTTATCCACACATGCATAATAAAGTTCTATGATAATAAGTTAAACTTGCCTTAGCGTGTTACTGTATTCAACCATTCCCTGTCTAATGTGACTATTGACCATGATTGTCAGCTTACATGTTCCTGTATAAAGCGACCATGATTGTCAGCTTACATGTACCTGTATAAAGCGACCATAATAACTCCAGCTATACATTTCCAGATAAAAATGAAAAATTTGTACGGAAGCTGATTGACCTTGGTTACATTTTATTATTGCAGGAATTGATGCTGAGTTGACAGATTTGACGCTGCGCCCTGAAGCCGTTGTAAGACATCTTGTTATCACATTTATTGTAACAGTGTTTTTATGTGTACTGTCGGTTCCACTTACATCTCAGACTCATTTCTGGCTATGTGTCACCCGAGAGCAATGGGCCATTTTCAGCAATTTTTAGTCAACATCAAAATTAGAGGGGGTCATTCTATGTAAAATTAAAAGAAAATTGAGACATGGAGGGGTCAGTTTCAGTTTTGAGGGTTCAATGGCCCCCCTCCAAGATTATCCATGCAGTCTACAAACATTCAACAGAATTTCATAGTAAATACCTCCATTTCCTTACTGTTCCTCAGATGTACTGCGGAACCTCCTGTCACTGTAACCAAGTATACGCCATGTCAAATGTGCTGGAAATTAGGCCAGCTAGTGCCTGGGAAGTACTGGATAATAGATGTATCCTGGAAACGAGTGCAAACTAACTAAATATTCCTTGATATATATTTATCACATAATGTACTGTGTTATCCAGTGAATATACCCATGTCATACTTTTTTGCGTATAAACCCATGTAATATGACCTATCAGCCCTGTGATTGGTTGTTAGTTTCAATTGTTTCACTTGTGACGTCACGCTGACGCACTGGAGTCAAAATGGCGGCTTTTTACATTTCAAGGTTGCATGAAAATTGTCGTTTTACATGAATAAAAGCCACAAAACTTGATTATGTGATGAAAAGGATCTTGCACCCGTTTTCATTTCATATGAAATTTATGAAACTCGTCACAAATTTTTCATTTAAGCTCGCCTAAGGCTCGCTAAATTGAAAAATTCTAAGACTCGAAACTCATAATATCCTATATATATTGGAAATTATTTTTTTTTATGTATTCTTTTTCTATTAATCAAGACTGTTTCTAAGATAAATTAATGACAGATTGCTTTAAAAAAAAAAAAATCATAGATATTTCTCAGAATAAGGTAATTTGTTCTCCTAAATCTGTTTGTAATTTAATTAGTTGTGATTTTTCATATGTAAAAAAGTCTCTGTACACTGAAAACAGAATTTTTCAAAAAAACTAAGATCTGGAAAATTTCAAGAAATTGCTTGAATTATTTTGTACTGAACAATCTGTATGAACCCTCTTTAAGTTAGATCATATTTGGGCATGTTTATCTATTTTATAACTATTAAAATATCATCCAAATATCATTACATCATTACCTCACCCATTATATTATTTTGGATGATGTTGCTATCCATTTCCTCGTCAGATGTGATTTTGTTTTCCTAGGACAGCTTAGATAGAAAAGTGACGTAAGACCAATTCTGATGAATATTTATAGTATAATTGACGATCACAATTCCGTACACACAGTGAAATAGACAACTGATTGAATGTGACATTACAAAATCTTTTTACTAGGGTTGTTAATGGTTAGCCGGTTAACCGGTTTAACCTGATCGGAAGACTTTGATTATGTGTTACCAAAATCAGAAACCGAGTAGTCGGACATTTATTTACACCTGGGGGAGCCCCGTGTTTACCTTGTTTTGACAACCAATTATCTAATAATGAGACTGAAATAGGATTTTTCGGTAACGAAAATAATGTTCAGACTGATCTGTTCGGGTGTTGGCTTTGTTCTTGATAATTTACAAGAAAGATTGAAAAAGAGATGTCGACCACATTATAAATGTGAAATCCCAATGTTGTGTTTTTGTTTCAGGATGGGACTTAAAAATAATCTTAAAAATACACAATTGAATGATATCATGTGAAACATCAAAAAAAGGTGCAATAATGTTTGAATTAGTAAATTGTTGATCAAATCATATTTTCTCAAGAACAACATTATCACATTTGAGTTGGATTAGAAATAACCTGTATTTGTATTGTTTATTGATTGATTACACAACTGACCAATTAGCCAGTTACTCGGTCGGAGAATTAGTCCGGTTTGACTGAGCCCTACCTTTTACCATAGTTGTAAACTACCTTTATGAAATGTGACTTCTCCGATCTTTTGACTTCCTGTAGTTGGATGATAATGGTGATGTCTGCTGGTCTATAGTCTGTATCATATAGCATTTTGTATTAAAAGTGGTCCTGTACATTGTCAGAATGTGACATAGTTCTGTTCGTGGCTGCTTGGAGGACAAAATCTACAGGTGCACACACATTTTATAATCAAATATAGCAGGAAGGCTAACACAGAAAGCAGCGTTCCTGTGATCAAGTCATTTACTTATTACCTTTTCTGTGAGAACAAAATGCTCTTCATAGTGAAACCTTGATGAGTAATGTGCATATTAAATACGTTAAATGACATAAACAAAACCTAATGTATACACTCGTGCACATGAGCAAGTCAGGTAAAAAATGATGGCTATATATACATGTATAATGATAAACCTTGAATTCAACACACACCACCGCATGACCAATATAATTCGTTTTCCTTTTTAATTGCATTCTGTAAAATCTCCACATCCAGACTGACGCCTATCAAAGTCTTATCCCAGGGCCAATCAGCGAGTAACAAGTAGCAATTCAGAGGGAACAATTGATAACGATCCGGAAAAAATTTGCTGCACATTTTTACACGAAATGGAATCTAATGAAAATTTTGGAACAATGTCTATCAGCTTCTGGTCATCAGAGATGAATTATTTTGGACTTTTTATTGTTTGAGTGAGCCGATACCTCTAGGACTTTGATTTAAGTGTGGAGAAGTTGTGTTCAGTGGTCGGTAGAAATAATATTGATCTATTTGTGTACTTGTGAGAAACTGGCTTATCTGTTCATCCCCATGAATCACACTCCAGCATTCTCTACATGTATCGGGTTGTGTACACTTGGTGGTTTAAAGCACTTTGACTGGATTTATATCTAATTGGTGTGCTGTAATATAAGTGGGCGTTGGTTAAACTGTTGGAATCGTGTAGGTCTGTAGAATCGTGTAGGTCTGTAGAATCGTGTAGGTCTGTAGAATCATGTAGGTCTGTAGAATCGGGTAGGTCTGTAGAATCATGTGGGTCTGTAGAATCGGGTAGGTCTGTAGAATACTGTAGGTCTTTAGAATACTGTAGGTCTGTAGAATCGGGTAGGTCTGTAGAATCATGTGGGTCTGTAGAATCGGGTAGGTCTGTAGAATCGGGGAGGGCTGTAGAATCTTGTTGGTCTGTAGAAAGTCTGTAGAATCCTGTAGGTCTGTAGAATACTGTAGATCTGTAGAATCATGTAGGTCTGTAGAATCATGTAGGTCTGTAGAAGACTGTAGGTCTGTAGAATACTGTAGGCCTATAGAATCCTGTAGGTCTGTAGAATCGGGTAGGTCTGTAGAATACTGTAGGTCTTTAGAATACTGTAGGTCTGTAGAATCGGGGAGGTCTGTAGAATACTGTAGGTCTGTAGATTCATGTAGGTCTGTAGAATACTGTAGGGCTGTAGAATCCTGTAGGTCTGTAGAATACTGTGTGTGCTGTAATATAAGTGGGCGTTGGTTAAACTGTTGGAATCGTGTAGGTCTGTAGAAACGTGTAGGTCTGTAGAATCGTGTAGGGCTGTAGAATTCTTTAGGTCTGTAAATACTATAGGTCTGTAGAATACTGTAGGTCTGTAGAATACTGTAGGTCTATAGAAGCCTGTAGGTCTGTAGAATCGGGTAGGTCTGTAGAATCATGTGGGTCTGTAGAATCGGGTAGGTCTGTAGAATCGGGTAGGTCTGTAGAATCATGTGGGTCTGTAGAATCGGGTAGGTCTGTAGAATACTGTAGGTCTTTAGAATACTGTAGGTCTGTAGAATCGGGTAGGTCTGTAGAATCATGTGGGTCTGTAGAATCGGGTAGGTCTGTAGAATCGGGTAGGTCTGTAGAATCATGTGGGTCTGTAGAATCGGGTAGGTCTGTAGAATACTGTAGGTCTTTAGAATACTGTAGGTCTGTAGAATCGGGGAGGTCTGTAGAATACTGTAGGTCTGTAGAATCCTGTAGGGCTGTAGAATCCTGTAGGTCTGTAGAATACTGTAGATCTGTAGAATCATGTAGGTCTGTAGAATCGGGTAGGTCTGTAGAATCATGTGGGTCTGTAGAATCGGGTAGGTCTGTAGAATCATGTGGGTCTGTAGAATCGGGTAGGTCTGTAGAATCATGTGGGTCTGTAGAATCGGGTAGGTCTGTAGAATCATGTGGGTCTGTAGAATCGGGTAGGTCTGTAGAATCGGGTAGGTCTGTAGAATCGGGTAGGTCTGTAGAATCATGTGGGTCTGTAGAATCGGGTAGGTCTGTAGAATCGGGTAGGTCTGTAGAATCATGTGGGTCTGTAGAATCGGGTAGGTCTGTAGAATCGGGTAGGTCTGTAGAATCTTGTTGGTCTGTAGAAAGTCTGTAGAATCCTGTAGGTCTGTAGAATACTGTAGGTCTATAGAATCCTGTAGGTCTGTAGAATCGGGTAGGTCTGTAGAATCGGGTAGGTCTGTAGAATCTTGTTGGTCTGTAGAAAGTCTGTAGAATCCTGTAGGTCTGTAGAATACTGTAGGTCTGTAGAATCCTGTAGGTCTGTAGAATCCTGTAGGTCTGTAGAATACTGTAGGCCTATAGAATCCTGTAGGTCTGTAGAATCGGGTAGGTCTGTAGAATCGGGTAGGTCTGTAGAATCGGGTAGGTCTGTAGAATCATGTAGGTCTGTAGAATCATGTAGGTCTGTAGAATCGGGGAGGTCTGTAGAATCTTGTTGGTCTGTAGAAGGTCTGTAGAATCCTGTAGGTCTGTAGAAGGCCTGTAGAATCCTGTAGGTCTGTAGAAGTCTGTAGAATCCTGTAGGTCTGTAGAAGGTCTGTAGAAGGTCTGTAGAATCCTGTAGGTCTGTAGAAGGTCTGTAGAATCCTGTAGGTCTGTAGTAGGTCTGTAGAATCCTGTAGGTATGGAATAAACTTGGTTTACCAATTATGTTTATGTTTGACATGCTGGTAAGTCATATACATCCTATACATATCTGATATATCTGATATATATCTTATACCATATTTGTTGAAATAAGAGCCCCTC